CTATAGAAATACGTGATACTCTTCAAAGCGCATTGCAAGATGCCGTGGTGAGCAACCAGAAAAGACACAAGTAATGAACACTGTTTATCATAAATGAGCTCTTTGAGAAAAATATTATCCTCCCAAAAATCCTATTCCTAATTTCCCTTTGTAAAACCTCATGTTTACTTCTCAGTATTTTCCAGCTTCTGTAACAAACGAGGCAGTGTCTTGTTTTACAGACAACCCCCTTTGCTATGTAGTCCTAATTCATATCTAGGTCAGATCCATCAACAATGCTAAATGAGTCGGAGATCCTGCACAAATGCAGTATACGACTGAGATGCTAAAGATTCCCAGAAATAGCTTCTGCAAAACCAAATGGAAATGAAAGCTGCACAAGGCAGTACTAATTCTAATTTTTTCTTGATTTTACTATTATAATTGTGGGGGACCGCTCTTACTGAACAGCTAAGCAAGGTGCACTTCAGTTTCACACCTGTGTTACATTTTCAGTAAGGTGGTTTTCCCATTGTTTGTGAATAAAGTCAAATGGTGTAACTGGGAAAAGGAGGAGTTGGTATCTGCTGTGCCCTCAGTAAGGGCACCTCACTCTCTTCATGGATTCCAGCTCCAGAAGCAGGCTGAAGCCCTATGCAATACTTAACTGGCTCTGTATGTGAACTTTGCATTCTCTAGCATTTTTCATTAGGATTATGAGAGTTGGTTAAGGAGAAGCCAACTGATATTGGCTAGACATGGAAGCCAGAACAAGGAACCACTCAGTGGACTGAAGGGAGGGAACTGGTAGCTGTATTTGAACACTTGTGCATGCAGGAGCTTATCTGTGAGTGGCTTGACAGAAGCTGTGGTGAGACAGTTAAGTGCAGAAAGCACCTGGAAAGAGCCTTTGAGAAGAACAGGAAAGATTCCTGTGAATGAAAACTGGGACTGGGAGCTGAAAGGCAGCAAGAGGTCAGACAAGGAGATACGCAGGAGAGACGGGGAATGCACAGGTAGAGAGTGGACCTTGAATTTAGTCAGTAAGAAAACTAGGACAGAATGAGATGGGTAAACAGAGCAGGATCAGATTCCCTCCCGAGGGGAGGGCTGTTTTCTTCTTTGAGACGGCACTTCCAGTCAGTGCTGGTTATTCTGTCAACTGGATCACCTGTTGTGTGTGGGCTTCTAAACTCATGCTGGTGATGAGCTATGTGGGGTTTAATATGGCTGGATGTGGTGGAATTTCTGAAAGAATTTGAGGGTATTTTTCTTTACGCTGTGGAAGTTGTGATTCAGAGTTGCAAAGACTTTGCTTTAATGTGGCTGGCTCTGTGACCTGGCCAGGCAAGCCAGCAGTAATATCTTGTCCCCTTCTCTCCTGACCTCCAACAGGCAGAGCTCCCAGAACATTTTGACTGTGATTTTTTTTTTTTTTTTTTTTTTTTTGTCTTTGGTAAAGAAGAAGACTTTATTAATGTGGCCTTTTACACAGGCTTGTGATTGTGCAAAGTAGAACTGTATGCAACAACTATGTAAAAAGCAAGAAACCACTTGTCAGACTGATGTTCAACCAGTGGTTCCAACTACATGAAAGATTTGGGACAAGCACTTTTCTTGGCAGGAGAGTCCACCCTACATACTATAGCGAGGCTCGGTGACTCAAGGACCAGAACATGTTCTTTTAATGCCAAGGTAAGGATGAGTATTACTCATGTACTAAAAAGAGCAGAATCCCTTCCTTTCACAGGTGGTGAGTGCCTGAGCATGAATGTGCTTTCATCTTTATTGCTCCTAGTAGAAAATATTCTCCAGAAGCTGGTAGGTGCAGTAGTGAGCAGGGATGGGAAGAGGGGCAAAAAGGGGCACTAGGAGTCCAGAAGGTGAAAAGGGCAAGTCAAGTCAGCAAGCTAAAGACAGAGATTCCTAAATGTTGCTTCTCATCAGGTCAGAATATCCATGTGTGACTCTGCTATAATGTTGCTCTGTCATTCAGGTCAGAGGAGACAAATGAAATAATTTAGCAGAGGAGTTTGACCATAGCCTCTGGAAATATCTGGTTGTCTTTCCCTTCTGCTTTGTATTTGGGTCTCTGACATAAATTCTAAAGAACACATTTCTGTACTAGCTGTCTCCTGCAATTCATTCTGAGCAAGAGGAGTATTGGTGGGGTGAACACTGGTAGAGTATGGTTGCTCAGTCACAGTTTTTCTGCTGGGGCCCAAGACTTGGCTCTGGCCAAGGCTTCCTCTTGTAGCAACTAATGTAGCAGAACTCAATATAAGACTGTTTAATGCTGCAAGTAGTGTAACAGGACAGAACGTGACACCGGATAGGAGAGGTGACTGTTTTACACGCCAGTTATTACAGTTCCTTGCACTCACCCTGTCATACACATAAGCATCAAGGATGTTTGTTCAGGCAGTCTGGGCAGAATTACTTGTGACTTGGAGGACAAGAGACACACTGAGTCCCCATCACCATGTCTCCTGGTTGTTTCTCAACTGGCAAGCCTGGTATTTGGAGGTGTCTTGTGCTGTTTAGGAGCTGACAGTAATTTTCATTTTCTGTGCGTTCATCTTGCCCCACCCCGTGAGTCATTTGCAACGCTGCTGACTTACTGTCTCGTGTCCTCTCTGGGTGTTTCTGCCCTCTGCTTTCCTGATCTGGGTGTCCTGAGGAGCTACACATAGATGTGCCACGGTATCGATGACCTGCTTGGCACACACTGCTTCAGCTGCTTCTGCTCCCAACACACACACACACCTCCATTTGTAATGATCTTAATGTTTCTGTTAAACCTCCGCACTCCCACCCCTGCCAGATCCTTGACTGCAGCTTCCTGTAGGTGCTGGCGAGTTAAATTACAGGGGCCCACCTTCATCTGGCTACAGGGCTGTGGTTTGTTCTCAATCTTCTCTTATATCTGATCTAAGGGCATTTGCTTCAAGGAGCCCTTGTACACAATGGATTTTTCTGTCCAGGTCAAAAGACTCTTCCAAGAGTATGGGGTAAAACTGTGAGGCTGGCTGTTAGGATAGAGATTCTAATTACTTCAGCATCTGGCAGAGAAGACTAGGGGGTGAAAAAAAGGTAATTTTTTGAAATGGGGTGGTGGTTGAGATGCTGTATCCACCATGGTGGGAAGATCACCAAGACTGCACTGATGGAAAACAGTTTACAGTGGAAAAGAGCAAAAAATGGTCAGAAAATGCCCGTGCCAGCAGAGGTGGTTCAGTCCCAGTGATGTGGTGAATCGATTTGGGGCTCTGGAGTCAGCATTTATGATGCAACCACCATGTAGATATTTTCTAGGTTAAAAACTGGTTTGTCAGACAAATATATATATAGGTTTTGTGGCCTTCTGCCTGTGGCTGAATTTTACTTATCACAATGAGATATAAGCAGTGATGTTTATAAAATATTTTAATAAGCTATTTCTCGGTTAATATTTATGCACTACTTACAACAGGAATTTATTTAGGTTTATTACTGTAATTAATACTGAAATTAATTGTTTTCACAATTTTCGCTCTTTACACTTCACTGACTACATCTGCAGTATGACAGAAACAATGCTACTAATGTTTACGGAGGATAATGAGATCCCTATACAGTCATTTGTACTGAAATTAACTACAGTAACAGACATTATGGAATTCAACACTAAATTCATTAATATTGAATGCGTTCAAACATTTATGATTAAAAGTGATTAAAAATCCCCTGGTATTCAGTGGTTATTAGCGTAGAAACAAAGCAGTAAACTAACAAAACAGAAACGCATGAGGCTGAAGCAGGTGTTTATGAGTATTCCAGTGGCACTAGTGCTGCATCATGGAAGCACCTGTCTTCAAGATCCTATTAAATGATCTTACCCCTGTACTTGAGAGGGGTTAGGTCACCCTGGGTTCAGTTTTGGGCCCCTCACTCCAAAAAGGACATTGAATGACTCGAGCGTGTCCAGAGAAGGGCAACGGAGCTGGTGCAGGGTCTGGAGCACAGGTCGTACGGGGAGCGGCTGAGGGAACTGGGGGGGTTTAGTCTGGAGAAGAGGAGGCTGAGGGGAGACCTCATCGCCCTCTACAGCTGCCTGAAAGGAGGGTGCAGAGAGCTGGGGATGAGTCTCTTTAACCAAGCGATAGGACAAGAGGGAATGGCCTCAAGTTGCACCAGGGAAGGTTTAGACTGGCTATTAGGAAGCATTTCTTTCCAGAAGGGGTTGTTGGGCGTTGGAATGGGCTGCCCAGGGAGGTGGTGGAGTCCCCATCCCTGGAGGGGTTTAAGAGTCGGGTCGACAACGCTGAGGGATCTCGTGGAGTTGGGAACTGTCAGTGTGAGGTTAATGGTTGGACTGGATGATCTTCAAGGTCTTTCCCAACCTAGACAATTCTGTGATTCTGTGATTAAGAAAAAAGCTTCAATAATTTAATACCCAAATTCATAACTTCTGAGTTGAATCCTAAAATTAGAGTGATTCACCAGACTGTTGCTACATGCTGATCTGCGTATAATGTCAAACTTCTGAAGTGCAGTCAGGTGAGTCTTGGCCTTTGGCATGAGGCTGAACGCCCATGTGAAAGTACATCACAAAAAACCCCATTTTGTTTATGGACTTGCCGATGCGGTGGGAATTGTGTTTTCCTTCACAGCTGTTCAGTCGTGCTGTAGTGCCAGGCTCACTCAGACCCGTTTGTAATCACTGCTGGGCACGTCTCATCCCGCTCGGGGTCCCGCCGCAGGGACGAGGCTGCTCGGGGCCCGCGCGGGGGAGAGGGACGGAGAGTGTCCGTGTCCGTGTCCGTGTCCGTGTCCGTGTCCGTGTCCGTGTCCCGCCGGGTCCCGCTCAGGGCCCGCCCGGAAGC